TCTTGGCTATCTTAGAACAGTAAGAGGTGAAAGACATGCTAAGAACTGAAGAGGACTTTTCTCTACCCCCCTTAACAATGGTGACCTCTTTGGAATACTTAGAAAATAGTGATTTTGTTCTTCCTTTTCAACTAGAATCTGACAAACTGCTTTATTAAATGCATTCACTCCTTCCATATATCTTTCTTGGGCACCTACTACGTTGTAGTCATGGTCCAAGAAAAGGGCATGTATGGGCCAACCTACATATATATCTGATATGCTTGAAAATGTTCAATATTATATTGTCTAGGTCTAAACCACTGGCTCCAATGAACTTGATGAATGCTGAAATTTTAAAGGCAAACACTATGAGAGATAATGCCTCCAGGAAAGTAATCTGTCCCTTTGTAACACCCCTCTAGGAGATACAGTGTACCTCTTGATGCTTCACCCTCCAGGGAATCTGAAGAACACACAGATGTATTGCTTTCAATATGATTTCTTTGATGCCCTAAAGCCTTTGTGAGATTCCCCAAGAAAAGAGCTCCTATGTGGACATGTGGACATCGCCCAGGCTGAACCTCCCCACAGAAGCTCAGGCTGGGCCTGGGAGTAGAGAATAAGGTTCTTCATCTCCCTAGGAAGCCATGGAACACATTTTCTTGCCTTGATGGGAAAAAAATCTAAAGATTGGATTTTTTTCAGGATCAATAAGGTACCTTGCGGAGTAATTTACAGTAGAATGTGAAAACAAACACAGAAAGAAGAGCCCCAAACAGCACATTCCCCATCCTGAGACAGAAAGGAGACCTCCCCTGGCTACTCCTGAGGTGGTCCCTTCTCCTTCCTATTTACTGACTAATTTTTGTTCTCTTTCAAATTCCTTTAGACCCTGAGTCACCACTTGGGAATTCGTTTGTTCCCACATCTGTCCTCCTATGGCATACTTAAGCTTGCATGTCTCCAGCCAGGGAAGAAACAAGCAGGTGGAACAAAGGAGAAGCTTTGTTGGGAAATGGGCATGCTCTAAAAAGTTACTAGAGGGTGGTGGAGAGGAAGGAGGATGGATGGCTGCATAGTCTGAAGCGGACTCAATTTATCCAGCAGTTTCTCCAAGTCTTCTGTGACTGTTACATGGCTGCTTCCTCCTCCTTCCCTCCCTCCCTTCCCTTCCTCCCTTCTTTCCTTCTCTCCCCACCCCTCCTCTATTCAACAATTGTCTTGGCTCCCATTCCCACGTGTAGCTGTCATGGGAATACAGAATATACATTCACAAGACTCACAGTCCCCTGTTCTATTTGGTGGCTCCTACCCTTAACCCTTGCCTGGGGATCGCTAACTGCCATTCAGTTCTGAGCCCCTACTATTATTGCTCATCCCAGTCTTAAACAAGCAAATGCTTCTTTGATGAACAAAAATGATCCTAACAGTTTCTCCTCAAAAAAAAAAAAAAAAAAAAAAAAAAGTCTAAGCAAGTGACAATCTAGCTGGACATCTTTCAACTCTACACTATGGCAGTGTTCCAAAGAAAAAGAAACAGTGGGGTTTATCTGGAAGAGTGAACTATGAATCTATTTTCAGTTCATAGTGTCCTAAAACTGCCTATTCACGAAGCCCAGATAACCATAGAGTAAAATGTAATAGCAATGTATGATAATAAATTATTCTTACAAATAATAATAAGACATAATTTTAATAGAACACTTAGGCATGGGACACTCATGCCTTCAGGAGGACTGGACTGGTATTTTCCCAGCAAATAAATGGTCAACCTTCAGTTTTGTTCGTCAGCCCTGACTCTGTCACCATGCAGTTGTTCAGTCAAGTTCAAAGCTGCCTACCTTATACACTATGTCCAATGCCATTTTCTGGACCAGTCCTGAATAAAGCAGACAGAATTGATATAGCAAGGATGGACATTCTGCTGGCCACTTCTCAGGCCTTTTAGGCAGCAAGTACTTGGTAACTGACCATCTGACCCTCACTGTGCCATTTTACCTACTTGGTGGGGGGCATTATTTTATTTTTTACCATTACCATCAGTACCATCAGAATGTTACCTAATTTATACCAGAAAACTCTTCAGGCATTATATATCCAGTTACTATATCAGTTATTATTACATCCACTGACACAAAGGTAATGCTTACCTTGCTCCTTGGTGGGATGGAGGTATGTGTGTTGATGTATACATGCGTACATAAATACAAATGAATCTAGTATGATTTTTACTGCTAGCATGTGATTTATAAATACCAATAAAATACACAATATTCTTTATTGCAAAGTCCTTAAAATCCAATAACTCTCCCCAGATGCATTTGCTTATTTATTTGAGCCCCTGGATCTGTAGCCAACAGTCATAATTAATATATGTATGTACAATTCTGATGTTAATATTGGCTATTTCCATTCACTTAACTATAGCAAGACAAAAATGAAGGAATGAAATCCTCTTAGGAACTGACTTGCTTACCAATGCCATAGCAACAGCCTTGATAAACCAAGTCATGGTTTTAAAATATTAGAAGAATATTTTCTCAATTCTTCGGGTGATTACTATGCAACTGCCACAGAAATCTTTCACTTACAATTGCATATTTATTTGCTTATATATGTGTGTGCACACATGCAGGCACAAACATATCATGACTTATGTGTGGAGGAGTGTCTGAGAACAACCTGCAGGAATTAACACTCTCCTTCCATCAAGTGGGTTATGGGAGTCAAACTCAGGTCATCAAGTTTGGCAGCAAGCGCCTTTACCTGCTGAGCCATCTTACTGGTCCTGAAAATTTTCCCTTTAACCTGCATTATTAATATCTTCTCCATTACTTTCTTAAATCTAGACCATGGATCAGTAAACTTCCTCTCCAAAAGACCAAAGACTAAATAAATTGGGCTTTGTGAGCTACATATGGTCTCTGTCACATATCTTTATGTGTATGTTTTGTTTTTACAATCCTTTAAAAAATGCAAAAAAAAAAAAAAAAAAAAAAAAAAACTAAAACCACCTTGGGTCAGATCTGGAATGACAGTTTGCTGATACTTGGTCTAGACAGTTCATTGAAACAATAAAACAAGCTATGATTTATATCATCTGCTGATTCTATGGTGTAAATATCCCATCTGTGGACAGTTCCAAGATCACATGACTTCACCTGAAAGGTGCTGAGAAGATGCGGCAGGACAACATTGCCCAGTGCTCAGACATAGACACAGGAGTGTGTAACCTCAGGAGTGTATGAGTAAAGCATAGAGGACTGACTCTGAGAATTGGCTGTTTCTTGGTATTGTTTATTTACCTTTCCACTGATATAATTTACTTTTTAGTGATCGTTGTTGACCAGATTTCTATCATTTTAGTGATTTCTATGAGCTAACTGCAGTCTGGGATATCACACATTCTGTAGGGCTCCTGGAATCAGCTCTGCCTTCCTATATCTCCCAGTCTATGTCACCTAAAAAGCCACCCTGTTATACTGCATGGTCCTGAATGCAACGTGATAAGTGGATTTTGAACTCTGTACATTGTCATTCCCAAACACTTCATTTAATAGCCTAAAAAAGCCAGTAGATAAATCAACTCGGGAGATGCTTGGGGCTTGAGGATTACGGGGTACCCATTTCCTTGACTGGGGCAAATTCCTTAGACTTTGCCATCCCAGACTGCAGAACCTACTGAGGTAAAATTCACTGAAAGGCACCCCTCTTCTGGCTAAGGGTAGGACAGCATCTGAGAGGAAAAGGTCCCATGAAACTTACAGGAGACATTTGGCTGGAAGCAACTGGGCTTCTGAAAGACCGAAGTATTCAAAGCGCATTTTGTGCTGTGTGTGGCAAGATAGAGTGAACTATTGGAGGTAGTAAGAACAATAGAAAATAATATTGCCCATCTAGACATCTGAAAGGATCGAGGGAAAGAATAAATTCACAGGAAGTCACAGCGGTTTAACTGTCAGGGAATTCAGAAGCGGAAGATAAAGAGGATGGAGCAGACCTTTAGTGGTGTTTGCTTACTACTTTAAAAAAAAATGTGGATGTTTACACGTTTTTGTCCCTGGCTGTATCTCAGTGTAGCATTGGCACAGGACAAGCAAAACCTAAGGGCACAGAGAATACATGCAGGAAATTAGCCCAGGCTACTTTTGTAGATGGCAGACTCTAACAATAAATAGACAAATACAGCCTCCAGATGCCAACCTTGCTTCTAGTCTTCTAGAAGGAGTAGGTGCAAGAAAGTGTTCCTGATATTGGGGTGTTTTGGGGGGTGGGGATACTTTGCCCTTAATTGAAATCATTGTTTTTCTAGGGAAATTTAATTTGGGGAAAAATGTTTTTCTAATTAACTGGATGGCCGCGTGCTATGCAAACAATGAAGATTCTTGTTTGAAATTAACGCATGCCCCTGTTCCTAGGACTACCAAGGGAATTTAAAATGAAGGGAAAAAACTGCAAGCAGCTCTGACCTCACTTTTTATCCGAGCTAAAATGACCCCCTGGCTTCCATGGCTTTCACGTCAGTTCCCAATTTTAAAAGCCACAAGTGCTGAACGGGTTCACACTGTATGGAGACACCTTTTTCTCATCGCTGGAAATGGCTGTAAATGATTTTGATCTGGCTTTCTCAGTGGGTGCGTCCTTCCAACCCTCTCTGTTCTTATTGTGCTGAGCTTGGCTTGCAAGGTTAGAAACTGCACATACTGATGGCTCAGAGGAAGAGTTCATAACGCTGGTGCTGGGCAGGGCAGCCTAGCCAAATTCCATCCATTAGCTCAGGCGCCAGCCCGAGTGTGACCAGCAAGAATGCCGTTTTGGTTCCATAGAAGAGCTGATAGGGAATCGGAAATACCTTTTATTTTCCCCTGTCTGTCTCCTTCTGTTTTGATTCCTAAGAGGCAAAATATGGACAAATGGAGAGTCCAGAATTCTAGACTATGGAAGAAAGGAGTTAGTTGCTAACTCAATCCCTAATGGAGCAGCTTAACCAACAGCCATTTTCTTTTTAACTGTGTTTTGATCTATTCTGATACTACGTCATATACTAAATGTGGAATGATACTGCGAAGATTAGCATAGCCCCTGTGCAAGGATGACATGTAAATTCATAAAATGTTCCATATTATTTTTAGCCAGGCAGTGATGGTGCACACCTTGAATCCCAAAACTCAGGAGGCAGAGGCTGGTGAATCTCTGAGTTTGGGGCCAGCCTGGTCTGCAGAGTGAGTTCTACGACAGCTAGTGCTAGACAACCCTGTCTCAGTGGGGAGGGAGGATGGGAATGGTATCTATGTGTCAGCACCAGATTTGTGCCTATGTTGGACTTAAAGCATCCCCAAATCTGAAGTCAAATATCCAATCCAGCTGACATTTCCAGATTTGCTGACACTGCTACTGGGACTAAGATGGGGGCCTCCAGGGACAACACAATTGAATATGGTTCCTGCCATGAAGGAGCATTAAATCTACAGAGAAGGCTGCTAGGACCATGGGAATTACAGTTCTAAAATGTTAGCTGCTCTGACCTCTTAAATGCAAACAAAGAAACAAGAGCTTCTTGGAGAAGTCTGAAAGTTGCTGGGGGGAGGGAGAATTGGCAGGGATGCTTCCCCCCCTGGGAAGTTAGGGAACACTGCAGCACCAGATCCTTTGAAGTAAGGGACACTTTGGGTAAGGGACACTTTGAAGTAAGGGAAGCTTTGGGGGAAGAAAGCATACTAAGAGACAAAGCAGTGTAAGCAAAGACAGGGTGCGCGCGTGTGTGTGTGTGTGTGTGTGTGTGTGTGTGTGTGTGTGTGTGTGTACAACTTTCACAGCATACTCTTCCTAGACTGATGGACTGGGGCCACCTGTGACTTGAGGACCTGCAGGCTTTATATGTGTCTTCGCAGTGTCGTTCTGCTTTGGATTTGTTTGTTTGTTTTCTCAAGAAAAAATCAATTCAACATTGACAAAGTGTTTGTTTTTACTTCTGAATCATCTTCAGCCTTTGAGACAAAGCAGCCTGGGGCTTAGGAGAATGTCCGAACCACAGCACTCTGTGGCTTGTGATGGTGTGATGGCGTTCTCTGCTTGTGTACCCACATTCTTAAGAGTCACAAATCTTCTTCTGACTCTTTCCATCACATTGAAGATTTCATGTGACAAAGCCAGACAGTCGGGAGCCCTTTTCTTCCTAAACTTTTGAACTGTATTTTATATGGCTGCCATCAACTCAGTGTGGTGTGAAGCTACAACTTTCCTGTCTTAGTTCATTTTCTAGAAGAAAGTATCAGAGACTGGCTAGTTTATAAGTGAAAGAGGCTTGTATTTGGGGTCATGTTCCCCATGCACTGGGAAGTCCAGGCACGTAATACCAACAAGAACATCATATGTGCTCCTTCAAGCCTGAGAGCAGGAATGTACAGCAGAAACAAAACGGGGAACTGCCTTGTTTTGAGATAACCCACTCTTATGGCAACTAATCAGGTCCCATAAGAATTAACCATTCCTATGAGAGTGGCATTAATTCCTCCTAACCAAGCATCTCTCGAGGGCACTACTGCTTCCCAGCTGGTACCCTGGAGACCAAGTTCAACATGGCTGGGACAACCCATACTCAAATCCTAGCACTGCCCAAAATGAATCAATGCTTTTGAATCCTAGGTATAAAATTAAGTATTTGTTAAAGTCACAAAGCTTGCCATTTAAAACGGCCACACTTATCTGATAAATACTGTGAGTCAACGTTCCCTGTCACAGCCTGGCCACCAGGAGCAGTGATACCTTTCCATGTCACTTCTCAGTTGTCATGAGCCACTACATGGCTTAACCCTGCATCACTTTCCCACACTAAACAGAGGCAGTCTCTAGGGTCTTTATCTTCAAATTATATATATTTTACCTGACTTTAAAGTTCATCTGTACCACTCTAGTCCATCAGGAATTTAGGGAAGGCTTATATGCCATTTTCTCAGGGATGTTCTATGAAGTCTTTAAACTAGCTACAGGGACCTTTTCAGGGGGAACATGTTCTGTTCAGCTGCCTTCCCCTTATGCTCAAGGAGACTTATTCTTACACTTTTCTCCTTCTTCTTTAGCTTTTTTAACTTCCATTTTCATGTAGCCTCAGGCCAAAAAGAGCAGCCTCCTCCCTGTCACACACATACAACCTACCTACCTCACTCCTACCCAAAGAAATACATGGAGAAGAAACACTGTTGGCAGCCTGATATCAACTAGCTATCCAAAAAGGGAGAATTTATTCCCTCTGATAGGATTCTTTTTCTCAAACCCCTTCACCTATGAGTCTCTGATGAGTCACAGGATCTAGTCAGTCACTGGATAGGAGCTGGTGGCAACTCCCGGAGCAGAGCCCACCTCCCCACAAACCTGCCTCTTGTTTTGTTTTGTCTGTCAAGAAGCCAGGCCTCATGTTCTACTGAAATGTGTTTTTGTAAAGCACATTTCAATAGAATATAAATACTTTTTATTCAGACAAACATAGTGGTTTCTTCAGAAATGTTGAGCATTGTATCTTTGAGCAAAGCCTCATTAATTGCCTGCCCAAAAACTCTGTTATGATTCCAAACCCTTCCTCAGATTTGAGGCTGTCATCTGAATTGTTAGACCAGAGTTCCAGCCCTTCCCTGGAAAACTTGGGGCTCCATGCTGGGGTTTTCTTCCTGTGAATCAGGGTTTAGGTAAGAGTGCTCCCTATTACTCGGAACCTCGGGTGACAGGATTGACCCTGCAGTTTCTACAGGCTGCTGGTGCTGTTGACTGAGTAGATGAAGAGGGTTCTCCAATAGACTCTGCCCACTGTTGACCACAGGCCTGTCTCAGTGTAGGTCCCTTTGACGGGGTCCCACGTTACAATCGTATTCAGGCAGGCCCTTTGCCCACCATTGTATAATATATGCCACTGTGATTTGGGTTCTCAGATAGTTGTTTCTCATGTTCTGCATCAGAGAAGAGAAAGGAGAGAGCCTGTCCTGGAATTGACTGCTCTGGCCAATGACTCACACAGGTCAGAGGGGTATCTGGGCTCAGTCCTCCCTGAACAGCCTCTGTGGGTTGCATGGCTGTGATGCTTGGGACTTGGCTCCGGAGACTCTGAAGGAATCCCAAGGAACAAGGAACAAAGGGGCAGGTGGGGATGTCTTATCACTGCAGCAGGAATCAGAGCAGTGATTCTCAACCTGTGGGTCATATGACTCAGGGGCATCGAATGACCCTTTCACAGGGATCACCTAAGACCATTGGAAAACACAGATATTTACATTACAAATCATAACAGTAGCAAAGTTATAATTATGAAGTAGCAATAAAATAATTTTATGGTTGGGTATACTCAGACATTCTTTGGGTGACCAGCTCCCAAATAATGGCACAGGACATTTTTTTAAATTATGAAAGCTTGACCTTAGCTTAGGCTTGTTCCCAACTATCTCTTAAAACTTAAATTAACCTGTTTATATTAATCAACATTCTGCCATGTGGCTCGTTACCTCTCCTCAATACCTTAGGTCCAATTTCCTCCATGTCTGGCTGGCAAACCTCCTACCTCTCAAATTCTTCCCTTGAGTCACTCCCACTCTCTCACTGGAAGTCCTGCCCATCCTTCTCCTGCCTAGCTATTGGCCATTCAGTTCTTTATTAAACCAATCAGAAGGTGGCCTAGGCAGGTTAAGTGAAACAGAGGCATCTTCAGACAGTGTAACCAAATATCCTGTAACAGCTGGAGGCGACCACAATATGAGGAACTGTATTGAAGGATTGTAGGGTTATATTATTATAGCAACGATATTTTTGTTTCTAGAGTACTCCCCTACATGTTGTTCTAGATGCATTTGTGTATTTGCTGCCTTTTAAAGATTTTTTTAAATTTTTATTTCATGTCTATGTATGAATGTGTGTGTGTGTGTGTGTGTGTGTGTGTGTGTGTGTGTGTGTGTGTGTGCGCACCACATGAGTGCCTGGTAGACATCAGATCTCAAGGAACTGGAGTTATGAGCAGTTATTAACTGCCATGTGGGTGCTGAGAACCAAACCCAGGACCTCTCTAAAGGCAGCGGGTGCTCTCAGCTGAGCTGTCTTTTCAGTCCTCTACTGATGTTTGCTTTGAATGCAAATGGTCTCATTTTTTGTTCTTCCTGCTGCTGTTTACCTTAGTTAGGTGTGGTACTCTCTGGTAACAAAGTTCCCTAAATCTCACCTTAAGAGACTCTACCTCTTTAAGAAGAATAAAACAGTTTGGAAAAATGGAATCTGTGTGTCTTCTTTAAAGTATATATGTGAGTCACACCTACAGCTAGAAGGTTGAGGAGGCGGTTCACCATGAGTTCAAGGCCTGTCTAGGCTATAGAGGAAATTCCAAGCCAACTTGGGCAACAAAATGAGACTCTGCCTCAAACAAATAAAGCAGTATTTATGGATTTCAGGGTATGTAAAATAAGGCAATAAAGGCATAACTTGGGAGTTGCTATATAATCTTAATCACTTGATTCTAAATATATTTTATAGTAAGTCTGAGATCATCAGAGACAGGAGATAGGAAAAGATTTACATTAAAAATATCACTGTTTTGTAGACAGTACCATCGGGGAGGCAGTATACATACACAAACAGCAAAATCTATACTTAGTACCATGGAGGGAAATAATAAGGGATGCTTCTCAGGGTTCTCACAATGAACAACAGAAAAGGCCACACACCATAAAACATAATACAGTGTTAATGTTAACAAAGTATGCTGGGAATACAAATCGGGGGTATTCAGTTAATTGCATAAGAGGGCTCTAGAGCTGACTTTGCTGACTCTCATAGGCTCATCAACATTTCACCAAGCAAAGCTTGAAGACAAAAAGTCACCAAGAGTAAAGTACACAGTGATCAGTTAAACAGAGGCTTACCGCAGAAATCACTTCTTCCTGAACACAGCAAGGGACAAGGACAGTAGTCTTGGATGGGGCCAGACATGAAGGTCCTTGAATGTCTTTTTAAAATTTCATTTTATTCCCAATGCAATTGGACATGATGAAGACAGTTTAGGAGGCAGAATGAACAATGACTTTAATCTGTAATTCAAGCTGTTGTTTGGGGATCATCTGTAAGGGGGAGAGCCAAGTGGAAAACCCAATTAGGAA